AGGCACGCGAAAAGTAATAGCCTTATGTTCACTGATAACAGCGCCGCCAAACGGGAGAAATAAGTGCAATTTTACATTTTAAGCAGGGAGTAAGACTAAGGAGACTGAACTAATGCTATGGAAGTGAAACCATTCGTCGCATTGAAACTATACGTAAGACTGAAAATTATGGTTTTCGCGCATGCGCACATGCAATATATTTGTCTCTGTCTTTCTCAGTAACTCAGATGCGACTGAGAAAATCATTATAAGCTACAAGTTGAGAAGGTTATGTTTAATATTTGTGAATGTTGTGCGTTTCAGGAAATATTATTAATAATAACTATTAGTAAATTGAAAAAAAATTAATTTAATAAATATAAATGTGCATACAAAAATATATACTAAAGAGTGTATATTTTTCAGTGATAAGTAATATATTAATAATATAATAAAATATTTATAAATGTTCAGAATCAATTTTTTTGGTATATAAACTACAAAGTGTTTTATTCTTTGTGGAAACAATTGAACAATTCCTAAATAAATAATATTTACGAATTTGTAATTTACTTTAATTATATACTTTATAAATAAACAGCTTTAAATGTCACATAAAAGTTATCAATAAGTTAATTTATTCGTTTGTCGATCATTGTAATATGATGTTTTGCATCCTGGTATGCAACAAACCATAATTTTGAAATTTTATTTTAAGAATCATATGTCAAAACATAACCATAACCTATTGATAAGTTTTTGTTCTCTCACTTGCTTATATTTTACGATATAAAGAGAGAGAGCAATATGCGCATGTACTGCGCATGCGCGCGGAGCATAAGTTTTGTCATTCTGCGAGTATAGTTCCCCTACAGAAAAAGGTTTCATTTTTGAGAGACTTCACACAGTCAGTTCAGTCTCCTTAGTCTTACTCCCTGATTTTAAGTATTTTTATCTTTGACAGCTGATTGATATTTAAGGTTAGAGGATCCTCTGAGTGTTGTATTGTAAAATAGATGAACAGAATTAAATTGTTTTATACGTTATATAAATAGAAAGGACTTCAAATAAACAACCAAAAATTCTTTGCATTAAATTCATAAATGTCTGTTGGTAAAAGTATAAAAACTTTTACCCTTACAAAATAGTATATTAAATAAACTTATCATTCTCGGTGCTTTGAAAAAACACTTTTTTCAGAAGCATTTTTATTTGCTTTATAACTAGACATGCAATTTTTTATAAAACAATTCATATTACTATTATTTTATTGTTAAAAAAAACTACACTGAGAGACCTTTGGGTCAGCAGCAGACTTTCGATAGGCTGCTACTGACCATTTTGGAGGAACGCTACAGGACTATACTTTTGGGTTGCTGCAGTAAAATCTTGGGCGCGTGACAGTCCCAAAGTTGTTCAGCTGCAAACCAACGGCGGCATTCCCACTACTTCGGTGAGCTGCTCACCAACATTTGGGACTGTCACGCACCCAAAATTTAACCGCAGCGCACCAAAACCATAGTGGAGCTGCTGTCACATACGTTGTTCCGCTACAGTCCCAAAGGTCTCTCAGTGTACGTAAACAAAACTTTTATCATGGACAGCATGGAGGGTATATATTTTCTCCTGTAGGGGCGCTAATTCAGTGAACAAATTTCCGGTATGCCAATTTTCGTGCATCGCGATTTTACGCAGTCAAGTACAGTCAATAGGGATACATTATACATATACTTCTCCTTATACTCCTTCATGATTATGATTAACTCTGTAAATTCTCATACAATTTATACTTTTTATATACCAATCGATTCATCTTGATGCAAAGAATAAGATTTTATTATATATTAACTTCAATAAGCAACTTAAAAAAATTTTTTGAACAAAAAAAATTTTTAGAAAAAAGTAAAAAAAAATTTTTTTCTGAGAATTTTTTAAAGTCTATCAATCCATTTCGAGATATTTTTATAATAAATATACCTGGTAAATTTTAGCCAAATTCGTTAAAACCTCTTCGAGTTATCGTGTTCACAAAAATCGGGATCCACACACACACACACACATACATACATCCGGACAATTGTTCAGGGTCTTATATAACATAGTCCCATATAGAAGAAAATTTGTTAAAAGGATTTTTAAAAATTTTGTAAATTAAACGACTACAAAGCTTCATCACGAGGAAGCAAAAATTTAGCACTTTCACAACTTCTAAATCACAACGAAATCTATATACACACAAAAATGTTCGTTTTTGTCTCGGGTGTAATTTAAAAAATATAAAGGTTTAAAAATTGCACACTTTTTCAGGTTAAAACTATTTATTTTCTTCTAATTGAAATTGATTTTTGATATTTCAGGAATTATTTCCTAACTCTTGGATACGTGGTAACAGCTCTGAACTAGCGTCGAACATTCAATGGTAATCAATGAATGTTTGAAAGAAATTCGGGAACTGTATTAGAAAACGCTGTAAATAGTCCAATAGTCTTTTTTTCATTTCTTTCTCATGTAAAGTCCATGGCACTGGCCGCAACTGTTTCTGAAATTTTCGGGAACTCGTCAAGGAATCTTGGTGCGCAGAAACTGTGCGCACCAGTCTCAACGTCAGTAAGACTTGCGTGCCTTATATATTTATTTTATGCTGAGGTATTTAACGCTCCTGTTTAGCTCACGTGGATAAGACGCCGGACTTCTATTCCTCGGGTACGCGAGTTCTGTTCCAGCCGCCGTCGATTTTTCCCTCATATGGTTTTTTCTATTTCAGAAACTTAATAAAAAATAAAAATTGTATGTGATCTTCAAGGATAAATGTGTGTGTGTGTGTGTGTGCGGACGTGTCAAGGAGGGGAAGTGGGAGGGGGGAAGCAGAATCCATTTTTTCTTGCATTCGCCTAACTTTTCGATTTTCTTGAACAGTTCCCGACTTTTTCAAGAACAGTTTGCCGAGAAGTGGTGAAATAGTTATAATTTGTAGAGAAATAGTAAATGACATATTTAAACGAGGCAACCTTTAGTTCTCTGTGAACTACCCGCCGTATCCAAGAGTTAAGAACGAAGTTCCCGAATAATCTTCGAACTTTTTTTTTCCGTGTATATAAGACCCTGAACAATTGTCCGGATGTATGTATGTATGGATGTGTGTGTGTATGTATGTATGTATGTGTTTGTGTGTGGATCCCGATTTTTGTGAACACGATAACTCGTGGTTTTAACGAATTTGGCTAAAATTTATCAGGTATATTTATCATAAAAATATCTCGAAATGGATTGATAGACTTTAAAAAATTCCCCAAAAAATTTTTTTTTTGACTTTTTTATAAAAAAAATTTTTTTAAGTTGGTTATTGAAGTTAATATATAATAAAATCTTATTCTTTCCATCAAGACGAATCGATTGGTATATAAAAAGTATAAATTGTATGAGAATTTACAGAGTTAATTATAATTAAAGCTGAAAATTTCGCATTTTTATCAAAAAATGAGTTCTTTCCGCAAAATTATGTTGCCGTATAAGAAAATCTTACTCATTTATTTCTAAAATCTTATTCTTTTCACGAAGACGGATCGATTGGTATATATAAAGTATATATTGTATTTAAATTTATAGAATTTAAAACCAATTATAGACAAAAAATTTGCACTTTTTAAAAAAATTCTTTTTTCTTAAAAATCATGTTGCTGTACAATAAAACATTATTTATTGAAAAATAAATCAAAAATCTAATTCTTTGCATCAAGACGAATCGATTGATGTATATAAAGTGTATATTCTATTGAAAATTATAGAATTAATTACAATCAAATTTGAAAAATTCACTTTTTTACTAAAAATTTTTTTGTTTATTTAGATTCATATTACTGTAAAAGAAAATTATATTCTTTCTATTAAGACAAATTAACTTTATTTTATAAATGTTAAATTGTATTAAAAATGAAATATACTTATCGTTAATGCTTCCTCCACGAGGAAGCAAAATGTTCATGTAATGAACATCTGGATTTACAACTTGTCTTAAATATTTTCTAATTGCTAAAAAAGTGCTATTTTTCGCACCATCTCCACTTTACACTCATATTTTAAGAAAAGTAATAAATATTTTAACTTAATTCTTTTCATTTTGTTTTCCGGAGATCATACAGATTTATTTCCAAAAGTATCAATTTTTTAAAAAATTAGGCCGCAACGACTTTATTCGAAATATATTGGGTTGACCCAATAATGAGTATTTATTCTCCTAAATGTATCAAATTTGTAAAATTTATGCGTAATTGAAAAGAATATGCATTTCTTTCTTATACTCAAGCGAAAAAAAGTGATGGACAACTTAGGACCGCTATTTCTGAAATGTCCAAAATGCAACTTTTTATTATTTATTGTACTAAGACTACAAAAGCCATTCTATAACGTTCTAAATAACATAAAATTATAAGAAAACGATCGCTGAACACAATTATATACTTGTTGACTTGATTAAATTCCATTTTGTTACTATTTTCGACCAATTAGCTTATAGGCTAATTAATACCCCTATTAATAGGTACCTATATATAATATTCTTAAACATTTATTTACTCTAAAAGTGATTAAATACATAAAAAAATTATTCGAAACATCAATAGTTCTTTAAAAAAAATTTAATCATAATTATTATTTTTTCATATTTTAAAAATGTTTAATTTCTAATCTTTGAAAATTCAATAATTTATCAAAATTACTACTGCACCTTCTTCAAAATTATTTTCAAGATTTTAATTCAATTATTTTCTAGAATCATTTTTAATAAAAAAATTAGAATTATCAATTTAAATTCAAAAATTACAAACTTTTACTTCAGCAGAATTATTTTAATTGTCACGTTTTTTCTATATTGAACACTAGTGTTTAAAATTGATTACGATATTTCGTTTCTTTATTTTTATTTTAGGCTTATTATTAATTATTTTTTTTGTAAAAGAATATAATTTTATTGCTTTTACTATAATATTAATTTTTTTAATAATTTAAAAAATTACAAAACTCACTTTTTCTCTGTCATTGACGAGGTCATATACATAAGATGGATAGACAGGTGTTTCTATAAACTTTCCATAGCCATGAACAGCCTTCAAGTTACAATCGTCGACACAAATGCGTCCATTGACAATAACAAATTCTGGCACTCCATTAATTTCCATACCCTGAAAAAATAACAATATTTAATTGAAAGTGAAAGAAATTTTCCTAAATTCTCAAATTAGACACATTTTTTATTAAAATTAGAAAAGGGAAAAAATTATCAAACAGTTTGTTTATTTACGATATAAATATAAATAGAATTTAATTTAAATAAATACATAATTATTTATATGGACATATTTTTTGTATTAAATAAATAAAAATAGAAATTAGTGGAAATAAATCCATAAATTTTTTATCGTAAATTTCTTTATTAGTAGTAATAATTTTGAGAAAATAATAATATTAATTAATACTTTTGTTACCTATCAATTTAATTAAAATAATTTTGTTACAAAAAACTGATGTATTGGTACAAGTTGAGTACCATCCTCAGAGTATTTCAAATAATAAATAAAATTTTTTTTAAGAAATAAAAAAAGTTGATAACAAATTTCCTATAAATAAAAATAGTTTAATAAAATAATAACAAAATAAAAATAAATATTTAATTTTATAAATAAATAATAAATATATAAATATTCATAAACCAATAATCTAATTATTCTTATTAACCTAATCACAGAAAATTGGAAAAGAAAAGAAAAATTCGTCAAAGGCAAATAATAATTATTCCAATATCCGGCGAAGCTCGTGACTTTTCTAAATATCGCATGACATTTGTAGATCATGTGTGTTTTCTCAGCATCAGCGCTTGTTTTGCAATAAACATCCGGCAGATTTTGCTCGCATATATTTTGGGCCAACTAAAAATTAATCGACTCGACCAGAGAAAAGTTAAATAAAAAAAAACTCAGACATTTCAAATCGATCAATTTCATTTGAAAATGTTTATTTGATTCGTGAGAATCGAATTTTTCTTTTCGTTTGAATTTTATGTGGAATGTTTAATTATTTTCCACATTATTCATCACATATATTATATGAATATACCTCAAAGATATTGAAATCAACAGCCTGAACGTGAGTTTGAGCGGAAATCGTTCGCTTCCTGCTCGGATCCCAGACGACGATGTCTGCATCGGAACCAATGGCAATGGCTCCTTTCCTTGGATATAAATTGAATATTTTCGCAGCATTTGTACTCGTCACTGATACAAATCGCATGGGATCCATAATTCCCGCATGAACACCCTTCTCCCAAACCACAGACATTCTGTCTTCAACTCCATTCACTCCATTTGGAATTTTCGTGAAGTCGTCCTTTCCAAGAGCCTTTTGCTCACTCGTGAACGTACAGTGATCACTTCCGGTTACTTGCAGTCCATCTCTGTTGGGAATAACGCAAACAAATTATTACCATATTATTGAATTACGTTTTGATTAGAATTTTAATGGCAAAATTATAACAGTTTTCCTTTGATTTCAGTTTTCCTTATTTTTACCGCATAATCTGATTTCATTGACGTGTTCTCAACTTTTTCATTATCATATTATATAATTCCTCTCACTTATAACTATTCTTCTAATTTTGACTTTTTTTCTTTTATTAATACATAAGAAATTTTATTGAGTGGAAAAAATATGAGAAAAATATTTTTTTTATCCTTTTGAAAAATTCTTTTAATTTTTTCGCTTAAGCATTTTTTTGTTTTTGACATATTGATAACATTTTTTCTGTTCTTATAATTTTATTGTTGTGAAAAAGTTTTAATTTGAGCAGGCCTCGGATATGAAATGTCAAAAATTCAACAAATGTTAAACAACTTTGAACTAAAATTTTTCAAAAAAGTAAGTTCTTTAGAATTTTTAAATTGTAGTTATTCAAAATTCAAATTTTCAAATAATTTAATATGAAACCTTTTGTAATTTATTTATTTCTTACAATTTTGAAATAAAATTCTTCTAATATTTTTAATAATTTACAGAAATTTTTTCGAGTTTTCTACACGTTATTTGTAAGGGATTAAAATTACCTAATAAACCCACCGTTGACGTGATTAATTCTGAAAATAAATTTGGAGGGACGGAGATTCGAACCACAGTCAACCTGAGATTTGCGCATGAAGCGAAAGACCTAACAAAAACGAAACTAACCAACTGAGCTAAACAAGTAACTAGCGTTTTATTTATTGAAAAATTTTTGAATTACGTAAATATTAAAAAATTCAACTAATTTTGAAAAAATTAAAACTGAAATTATTCAAGAGACTTAATTTAATACAAAACATTTTGAAAAACTTTTTCTGTAACTCTTGCAATATTTATTTGTCTTCTAGAATTTTTAACTAAATTTCTGCTAACATTTTTAATAATTTTGAGAAATTTCTTTGAGAATTAAAAATATGTATTTTTTTTAATAAAAGAAAATTTGTCTAAAATTTAAATGTTTTCAATTTAATAATACGAAATTTTGATTTTTCGAAAATTTTTTAATTACATAATAAATATTATAAAAAAAATTAAATTAATTAAGGGGTTACGTACAGTTAGAGCTTCAAAAAAAAGCTGTTTTTTAGGAATTTTTTGTAGCCACACATTAAAATAAATAATAACAAATCTTTTTCCACATAAAATATATATATATTTCAAGAAAATTTTCTGAAATTATAGTCCATAAATATAAAGAAATATGCGAATGATAGAACATTTGCGTGAGCTCCTTAAATAAAAATGGTTTCGCGGTGATCACGCTATCTCTTGACTGGATCATCTAAAATCAAATCGTGAAGAAGAAATCGTTAGGTAATGATATAATGCGGTACTTGAACGAAGGGATTTTAAAAATTTTGATGGCGGATGTTGAAAGTCAAAAATTGAATTTTGACCAAAATTTTACTCACATTTTCGGCTATAAAAAAAAATTATTGTCAAAAAAAATCCTTCGTTCAAGTACCGGCCAATTATATAACAAATAAGTGGTAAAAATTTTTAACCGATTGGTAAAGCCGTTCTTAAGTTACAGTGATCACCGACTCCCAAAACATGGTTTTGAGAAAAACGAGTTCAAAGTTTTGAATACCGCCGCCTGGCCACAGTAACGGCTGAGACGGCTCCATTCAAAATTCTATATCTCCATAAATAATAGTCCGATTTGTCTCAAATTTTCAGAGAATACTTTTAAAATGGTATACTTTTAGAAAATGCATTAAAAAAATCGATTTTTTGAAAATCATAAGTGTACGTAACCTCTTAAAAGAAAAATTCCTTTCTAAATTAATAATTTTTAATAATTTTGAGAAAGTTATTCGAGAACCCACATAGCACGTTATTTTGCAGGAAGTTTACAAAGTGAAGTTAGGAACTTTTTTTGTAAACTTCCTGTAAACTTCCTGTAAACTTTAAATGTCCACAAGAAGGCAATATTCCAGTGGAAACTTCCTGAAAAATTACTCATGTAAAATTGTTGGAAAATTTCCTAAATATTGGAGAAAGTTCCCAAAATTGAAGTAAAGGAAAATGTTTTATGAAAAACATGTGAATTTAATAGAGAAGAAAAAATATGTTTATACAAAGACATAATTATATAAAATTATAAAAATAGAGGAATTGATAAAATTTTTAAAAGCAATTGAAGTTATATAATAAATTAAAATTGATAAAATAGTCAATTATTTATAAAATATTTAATTAAAAGAAAAAATTAAATTTTTTTACTTTTAATTAATGTTAAAACTTTATTAAATTCTTTTCAGTATTATTAATATTATTTTGTAAGGGATTAAATTACCTTATAAACCCACCGTTAACGTGATTAATTCTGAAAATAAATTTGGAGGGACGAAGATTCGAACCACAGTCAACCTGAGATTTGCGCATGAAGCGAAAGACCTAACAAAAACGAAACTAACCAACTGAGCTAAACAAGTAACTAGCGTAGAAAAAAAAAATCTTTTCCTTAAGGAGTAAAACAAATAGTGCCACAATTAGTGTGTGGCAACCCTGATTCCTTGCTGGTGTGAAAAAGACCGCGCTTATTTGAAAATAATAATACCATACGAAAATGAAAATTAGAATTTAAAATCAAACGTATTTATTTATTCAATTTTTTATTCATTAACCTAAAAAATACTAATATTTACGTGTAATTTGCAGTTAAACTGATTGGCTAACCTATGAAATATTAAAAAATTTTTTTACTTTTATTGAAAATAAAGTAAATTTCAAATTAAAAAAAATTGTTTCTATTTTTTTTAATGTAGTAATCTAGGATTATTATTAAATAACCCTTTTTAATTTTTAATAAAAATTTTAACCAAATGAAATTGTAATTTAAATTTTGATTAATTATAAACATTGGTACAACAAGAATCCTTTCTTATTTTATACAAAATATAAATTTAATTAATATAGTTCTTTACAATTATCAATAGAAATTGCGTACAAATGAAATTTTAAATTTAATTTTTTGTACAAAAATAATTCATTTTTTTACTCAAAACTTAAAATGATTTAATAGTTCTTTTTACAATTTTTAATAAACATTTTACTTACATTAACTTTTCCAATTTAAATTTTGCTAAATTATAAATTGGTACATCTGTACAAAAATAATTTATTGTATATACTTCAAAATATAAATTTAATTAATGATTCTTTATACTTTATAACATATTTTTGATCTATAAACAAAGTTGTTAATTCAAATTTCTATTATTTAAAAATTTGTCCTTTTGTATAATAATAATAATCATAATTTATTTTATTTTACACTATACGCAATACTTGAAATAATTAAAGATTTGTAATAATATAAATATTTTACAATTAATGTTTTTGTTGGGAATTTTGTGATAGGATATTTAAATAACAGCGCTCATTTTAATAAATTTATATAAGTATTCAGATGTTTATGTTTAATAATACAAAGAAAATATATTTATTAAATTTTGAGTATAATTGAACAATTTCAAATTCATTTCTTTTACAATTCAAATTTACGAAATTTTGATTATTCGGAAATTCTTCATTTAGATATATTGTAAAAAATTTTTACAGAATTGTCAGAAAAAAATATGAGAAATTCATATTTTTAAAAATTTCAATTTGACACCTTTTTAAAATTTAATTATTTCTAAAAATTCACGCTATTATGCTTTAAATCGTCGGGTTAGCGCAATATCAGACTTATTCGACAAACAAAGCAAGAACATACTTATTCAGAAAAAAGGCAAGAACATGCTTATTCAAAATATAAAGTAAAAACAAACGAATTCGCAAATTAACCTTTTTAGTCAGATTTTAAATTTTACTTTTGTACAATTGTTTTACGAATAATAACTTTTATTTAGTTCCATTGAGAATAATTTTTTTAATATTTTGTTTTTCTAATATGAAAAGTATTATTGAAATAAAATTATAATATTCTTGATAATTTAAAGTCTGACTAAAAAGGTTAATTTGCGAATTCGTTTGTTTTTACTTTATATTTTGAATAAGCATGTTCTTGCCTTTTTTCTGAATAAGTATGTTCTTGCTTTGTTTGTCGAATAAGTCTGATATTGCGCTAACCCGACGAAATATTCAATTATTATTATTATCTAAAACTCATTTTTTAATCAATTTGTTACATAATTATTGAATTTGAAATTAAAACATTTATAGAATAATAAATTATTTCTTAAAATTGAATTCTCATAAAGAATTTTATCAACAAATTTTTAAATAATTTAAAAATAATTGAATAATTAAATTCTTTAGATAAATTTGAATAAAAATTTTAAAAATAATTATATTCTCGAGGAATTTGATTAAAACTGTATTAAAAATAATAAAAATTTTGAAATGAGTTTTATTATTTATTAAAATAATTGAATTATTGAAAAGTTATTTATAAAAAATTTGTAAATACTTGAAATCCTGTGAAACTTAAATTAATTTATTAAAATAATTAAATGTTTGTGTAGAATTTTATCCAAATTTTTTTAATAATGGGATTCTTTTAAAAATTTTTATTAAATTAGTAGATATCGAAAATCATGGATTATCGGAAAATTTTTTGAAAATAATTTGAATTTTACAAGAATTTTATTAAAATTGTTGAAAATAATTCAACTTTGGAGACGAATTTTATTATTTATAAAGATAATTGAATTTTTGTTAAGCATTTTTTTAATTTTTAAAAATAATTTAATTTCTGCGAAGTATTTCATTACAGATTAGTGTTGAAGAGGAAGCATGATAAAACCTTTTTTGGTTGGTATTCTCCACATTTTATACATTACACATTTTATACAATACGTTTGATTTTAAATTCTAATTTTCATTTTCGTATGGTAATATTATTTTCAAATAAGCGCGGTCTTTTTCACACCAGCAAGGAATCAGGGTTGCCACACACTATTTGTGGCACTATTTGTTTAACACCTTAAGGGAAAGATTTTTTTTTCTACGCTAGTTACTTGTTTAGCTCAGTTGGTTAGTTTCGTTTTTGTTAGGTCTTTCGCTTCATGCGCAAATCTCAGGTTGACTGTGGTTCGAATCTCCGTCCCTCCAAATTTATTTTCAGAATTAATCTCGTTAACGGTGGGTTTATAAGGTAATTTAATCCCTTACAAAATAATATTAATAATACTGAAAAGAATTTAATAAAGTTTTATCATTAATTAAAAGTAAAAAAATTTAATTTTTTCTTTTAATTAAATATTTTATAAATAATTGACTACAGTCAGGTCCCCATACTGTTAGATTCCAAACTGTTATGTCCTCAGTAGTGTAATGTTTTTGCATAACCTCCAAATTCAGAAGTGTTAGGTGACGTCACCAATTTTCAGGGCCGTATTCTTAAGCCCAAAGAAAAGGGGGCATATACTTCTAGGCCAAACTTGAGGTTTATATATTTACGTTCCTGAAAGGTGCGCAGTAGGCATACTTTGAGCACATAACAGAGCTGAGTCAGGAGGAGTGGGAAATTTCTGGAAATGTAACAGTATGGGGACCCGACTGTATTTCATCAATTTTAATTTATTATATAACTTCAATTGCTTTTAAAAATTTTATCAATTCCTCTATTTTTATAATTTTATATAATTATGTCTTTGTATAAACATATTTTTCTTCTCTAATAAATTCACATATTTTTCATAAAACATTTTACTTTACTTCAATTGGGAACTTCCCCAATATTTAGAAAATTTTCCAACAATTTTACATGAGTAATTTTTCAGGAAGTTTCCACTAGAATATTGCCTTCTTGTGGACATTTAAAGTTTACAGGAAGTTTACAAAAAAAATTTCCTAACTTCACTTTGTAAACTTCCTGTAAACTTCCTGCAAAATAACGTGCTATGTGGGTAGAAAAAAATGTTTTCTATCGAATAAATCGTCTATCTTTGATAATGGTTTAGAACCCCAAATTGGTTACAATGAGGACAAAACTCTGTCTTATGCGTTAAAAGACATGCAAAAAGTAAGATTCTTTACAGATAAAGATTTATTTTTCATGTACTATGAAAGTCGAAAAAAGTTGCTTTTTATACCAAAAAAGTGTATTTTTGTTATTTATGGATGAAAAGTCTGTCGCATTAATTTGAAAAAATCGTCTTTTTTTAAAGTAGTCAGAAAAAGTCGAAAAAGTCATACATCCAAGGCCTGCTTAAGTATGGAAAGAATAGGAGAAAAAAATTATTTCGCTCCTTTTGGAAAATATTTTCAATTATTTCTCTCGCTTAACATTTCTCCTATTTTTGACATTATTTTATACTCTCTAAATTTGAATTATTAAAAACGTTTACAAATTTGAATTAATAACTTTTACAGTACTTTTTGCTTTTGAATTAATAACTTTCACTAATAAATTAATAAAAATACTATTTATTAGTAAAATTTACTAATTCAAATGCAAAAAGTCAAGCACTAATTCTGATAGCGTGTGAATTAATTACTTTTACAGTACTTTTTGCTTTTGAATTAATAAGTTTCACTAATAAATTAATAGAAATACTATTTATTAGTAAAATTTACTAATTCAAATGCAAAAAGTCAAGCACTAATTCTGATAGCGTGTGAATTAATTACTTTCACTAATAAATTAATAGAAATACTATTTATTAGTAAAATTTACTAATTCAAATGCAAAAAGTCAAGCACTAATTCTGATAGCGTGTGATAGCGTGTTACTTATTATTTCGGGAATGTTCGACAGTTTTTCCGAGTGTGTACGAGAGTGCGACGTTTTTGGGCGATAAGTTCTCTTGAAGGGCAGTGCGAATTTGAGCGAGCGAGTAACTTGAAACCCGTATTAATTGAGTGCGATAATTATGAGCGAATAATTCTATTGTGTGTTATTTAGTTTTATTACTTTTATTAAATAAAGTTTATTTTTCAAATTACCTTGAGTGACTTTATGATTTTTAATTCAAGATATTTTCTTTAATTCGAACAATTCGTGATTTTCAATTCTTTTCCCTATCCATGTGCTTAAATGTATAAAATACGTGATTTCTAACAATTCCAATTGGTAAACATTTTTATTATGTATTAAATATATAATAAATAATAAATATTATTATTATAACATTTTAATCCAAATTTAGAGAGTAGGTATAATAAAAAAGTGAATATTGAAATGAAGAAAATAATGATCAAAAAGGAAATTCTCTTGCATCCTCTTGGAAAATTATTATTACTTACTGAGCTAATTGTTCAATCAGGTAGGCCGGAGTTGTTGGGTCCGGTCTCAAAGGAGGATTTGTAATAATGCATCTGGCTTTATTGATATCTTTGCCATATTGGTCGGAACCATCGATTCCGACACTACTCGATAATGGTTCTCCATAAACGACGTAACCGTCGGCTTTTTTAGCAGATATCATGTCTGCGGCTGATTTGCTCATCACCGCTGTCACGTAGAGCGGACAATTCACCTAAACGCGATAAACATTTTTTCTTCAGTCTTCAAAAAATGTTTTTTATTTTTTATTTTTTCCTATCTTTCAATATCTATTCAAATATTTTTTTTCATTTTTTCTCAATTTTCCATGCATTCTACTTTGTTGTTTCTTTTTGAATTTCTTTAAATTCCATAGAATTTAGAATTAAGAATTAGCCATTATTTTAAATTGAAAATTAATTTTTTTTTTATTTTAAAAATGACATTTCATGATTTCGAATTAAGAATATGGCAGATTATTGTGCAATGTGAGTGCAGCCAATGACCTAAATTTATGTCTTCACATATTCTGTTTTGAATTCGCGAATCACCGAAATAGAAAACGACCTGTGTGATTTGGCACATCAAATTTTTGGTCTATTTTCAACTATATCGTTCAGGGTTATAATCATTTCTTCAAATTGTCAATTTCAAATTAGAATACGAGAAAACGAAAAATTATCGAAGTTCATGAAAATTTCCAAAATAAATCATTTTTATTATTAAGGTCATGTTATTCAGTGGTCACGTGCCCCATATAATTTACTATGGGAACACGTGACCAATGAATAACATACCCTTAAATTTAAAAAATTAATTCAAGAAGAAATTAATTAACACTACCAATATTAACAATTAATTAACATTGGATAACAACTTTGTGATTATCAAATGGAAATTATGCAAATTTTTTAATATTACAAAAAAATACTAGAAATTTTGTTAAATAATTTTCGAATTTTTTTTTGAAATAAATTAGAAAACTGCATAATCTTGATTTATTAATTATAAAATTTTTGGATTTTTATAGAAAAAAGTGAAAAAGACATGATTTTGATTTGTCAATTACAATTTTTATATATTATTACAAAATTACAATTTTTTTTTAAATAAAAAAATTTGCATAATTTCTTTCTTATTTCAAAACTTAACGGAACAAAGCCAAAAAATAAATAAATAAAATCTATCATTTTTTAAAATTAATAAACATTTTTTTCAGTAAAAAAATTAAAAATAATATAACGCAGTGGACATTCTAGGTCAATTATTAAAAAAACTAAAAATTCTTATTAATTAATACTTATTGAAAAACTAATATTGAGATTTCGTTACAAATATATAAATATGGGTAGTTCTACAAACGAAAGACGAAAATGAAAAAAATTTTGGAACAATATTTTTTTTACGTTCAGGTTTTAAAAAGTAGGTTAAATTTAAGTTAAAAGTATTATCAAAGTTACCTAAAAGTGGCCAGTCAAAAAAATAAAAATTGTAAATTTTACATCTTAAGCACATGTGTATTCTGTCAGAAAGTGCCAGGAAACTGAGAACCAGGAAACTGAGAATTGGGTCATTTTTCATCTAAAAAATTTAAAAATAATGCTTAATAAAAAAATAAAGCATACTGGTCAACAGGGAATAAGGTTCTACGACACCTCGAGCAACAAAAGTATAAAAACATAAAATATTTTTTTTAAAAATGCGTGCCAGGAAACTGAGAATTTGTCTGACCAAATGGCCATTTCGGTCACAAAGTACACAATTTTAGTTAATTGAAATGCAAGTTAAGTAAAATGCAAGTGATATCATATTTAGTTAACCTTGACTAAGCACTGTGAAAAATGGTGAATTAATCGGAATGAAAATTCTTAATATTTTTAACGTTTTTTATGATGCCAGGAAACTGAGAATTAATTCGATGGACAAAATTCAAGATAATATTTTTTAAATAAAATATCAAGTAATGTAACAATTATTTTAATCTTTGTAAAGTACAACTATTTGAAATTATTATCCAAGTGTAAATTTGTATTTAATCGCTTAAAAATAATATTTATATAATTTATTAACTTTCATTTTCACATTGGGACATGCCAGGAAACTGAGAATTTAGCACTTGAATGCTTATTTTTTGCAAAAAATATTTTTTGAAATCGGGTAACGTTTTGTGGCATAATAGTAATCATTAACCCAGTAAACGAAAACAAATTGAAATGAATTAAAAAGAATTCACAAAGAGCTTTCGTGAATCCCGCTTTGTGACAAATACGAATTGGAGCCATGATGCAATTTTCCCGAATTCGTGAAACTGTATTGAACTTCCGAACCTTCTATCCGTACCAATTCACTGGACAAGTTTTGAGCCTTTAATTTTTTTCAATTCGTTAGCACGAATTCAATGCATTCCTTGGCCATTTCTTTCGAATGCGAATTCGTTTGGACAAATTGGTACATATTGAATTAAATTCAATTGAATATACAAAGAGCTTAAGTGAATCCCGCTTTGTGACAAATACGAATTGGAGCCTACCAAAAATGTTAATTCGTTTCAATTCATTTGAATTAGTTTTTTTTTACTGGGAAGCACTTCAGTTCCAATTGAAAATAATTTTATTTTTTCTAAAATTAATGTATAAAACAACTTTGGACATCATATATTCCCTCGTTTGTAGAACTACCCATATATATTAATTTATAAATAGAAATATGTATGAACATATGTATAAAATTAAATTTATCCCATAGAATCGGTAACATACACACACATCCATACAAACATTTATCAATTTTGTTTAAAAATAAAAAATTTATATTAATTTATTTTTATAACAATGTTTTTTTATATTTAAAACTTTATTCTGATTTTAATTAAACATTATCATAAATAAGTGATTTATGGGTTCTGGTAATTTTTTACACTTTCATATGCCAATTGCTTCTTTTTTTATGATAGAATAATCATTTCAAAATATTAATATTAATATTAATATTAATATTAATATTATATAAATTATGAAAAAAATACAAAATTCGAATTTTTTGTGAAAAAGAAAAATATTTATTAATTTTATAAATTTTGATAAAAAATATACTTTGTATACATCAATCGATTCGTTTTCTTGTCAGGAATGTAATTTAAAGAATAATTAATTAAAATATTAACTAATAAAAAAATTATTTAAAAAAATACAAAAATATTTTTTTCTGAATTTTAAAAAAATTGTATAAAAAAAAATTTTGTTGATGTTTTCGAAAATCCTTGTGTCAGATTTTAGAAATGACTGCAATAAACCTGCAAAATTTCAGGACAATCCATCAAAATTTGTCTGAGATAATTTGTACACAATTTTTTGTGACATACACACACATACACACATACACACACAATTGAAAAAATAGTTATTTCTTTTTCAAAACCAAATTTTATTGTCATAATATTGGGCCAAAAAATAATTTTTGTTTAAGGGGCCGTCCATAAATTACGTAAGGCCATTTGGGTGGGGGGGTGGGTGGACAATTTTTCTATGTTAACTTACATGGGTGCACATGGGTGGGTACCTGGTTAAACGAATTTCTTACGTAAGATATATTTTCTTACACTACTCTATAAATTTCGGAAATTCTCAAGCTATGATAGGGTCGTTCCAGAATGAGCCAAAACCATGAAGGAGTATAAGGAGAAGTATGTATATGTATCCCTATTGACTGTACTTGACTGCGTAAAATCGCCATGCACGAAAATTGGCATACCGGAAATTTGTTCACTGATATTAGCGCCCCTACAGGAGAAAATATATACCCTCCATGCTGTCCATGATAAAAGTTTTGTTTACGTAGTTTTTTTAACAATAAAATAATAGTAATATGAATTGTTTTATAAAAAATTGCATGTCTAGTTATAAAGCAAATAAAAATGCTTCTGAAAAAAGTGTTTTTTCAAAGCACCGAGAATGATAAGTTTATTTAATATACTATTCTGTAAGGGTAAAAGTTTTTATACTTTTACCAACAGACATTTATGAATTTAATGCAAAGAATTTTTGGTTGTTTATTTGAAGTCCTTTCTATTTATATAACGTATAAAACAATTTAATTCTGTTCATCTATTTTACAATACAACACTCAGAGGATCCTCTAACTTTAAATATCAATCAGCTGTCAAAGATAAAAATACTTAAAATGTAAAATTGCACTTATTTCTCCCGTTTGGCGGCGCTGTTATCAGTGAACATGAGGCTATTACTTTTCGCGTACCTGTCGATTTTACTGCAGAGAAGTACAGTCAATATCAGGAAATTTTCCCATTGGAGATATGTCTCCTTATACTCCTTCATGGCCAAAACGCAACGAAGACGCGACGCGTCCCAATGCCAAAGATGTTAATATTAAGCTAAATTTCTGCATTAATATTTATTTTGACCAAAGGAAAATATGTTTAATAAATTTTATATAAATTAAGTATATTCTAAGAAATACAGAACTATACACTAAACACCAAACATTTGTTTATTAATTCATTTTATTAGTTAAACAATTTTTTGCAATGCTACTAGTAAATTCTCGTAAAAAAATACCTAAGCAAAAAATTACGTAAGATAGGGGGGTGGGTGGTTCAAAATCTTACAGAGCCTTACAGACGTGGGTGCATGGGTCAAAATTTAAGAAAAATGCCTTACGTAATTTATGGACGGTCCCTAAGCGAAATATTATTTAACCTTCCGTCACACACCTAGGGGGGGATTCCATCTACGGTTTCAGTATTTTTTAAATAACTTTTGTTTTCCTCATTGTAAAATAAAATCAGTTTCTATACCTTTCGACAATCTACTCCTCAACACATTTCCAAAAAAACATTTAGTTTAAACATAATTAATATTTAATTATGAAGCTTCCAAGCCAGAAAAAATTCGAAAAAGTGAGGTTATGTTTAGTAAAAAAATCAAGTTTTCAAAACATTTTTTGTTCCACTGTTGGTTAATGACAAAATTATATTATAAATATAATTAAAATGAATTGTTTAATGATGTTTTTGCATATTTGTTAATGTTACATTATTTTTACATGTCAAGTGGAATTCCTTCGAAGATGTGCATTCGTGTAATTAATTTTTATTTTTGAGACCGAAAATTAATTTTATAATTTAGAATAATTTACTACATATTTGTAAGTTTGTGTTAAAACTAAATTTTTGTTGATTCCTTTGTTTATGTTGTA